ACACACACACACACACACACACACACACACGCACGCACGCGTGTGAGTGCATGTACCCTAGAAGCCAATCTCACAACAGATACAATTCCCAATGCCTTTTGGTCATGGGGACTAAAGCTCCAACCTGTAATTAATTTTCTGTGGAGTGAGATATTTGATTTTTTTTGGTCCTGCATCCCATTTTGTCTGGCATTGCCATCCTATTCTCATGATATGATTCTGGGGAATGACCAATAATGTGACCCCCACCATCAGCCTCAGGGGTGGACACTTGTAGCTGATTAGAGCCCTTCCTCAGATTCATTATGGGCAAAAGAGAATCACCAACTTGTCTCTGGAACTAAGAAGCCTAAGGAATAAACAAACTAGCAACTACCAGGCATCATCTTTATTGCTGAAGAATGAAGCCAACATGGAAAAAAGCAGAACACAAAAGGAAGAAAAGAGAGACTGATGACATTGTTTTTGTCTTCTGGATTCTATACACACCAGAAGCAAACTTCTCTCCTTTGGACTTTCCAGATATACATCCTTGAGTATGTGTATAATTTAGTTTGACTCGATTTTTGTCACAAAGGAGTTCCAATATCTCAAGTGGCCAGGAAAGCAGACAATCAGCAGACATGAGTTATCCAACCAGAGCCACGAGGAGGGAAGGGCCCAGGGTAACCTGCCGTCAAAGTTCCAGAGACTGTGTTGTCTTCTAGCAGCATATACGCATCCATGGTTCTTTTCTCTTGGTCCCAGGGAGAAGCACATACTAGCGTGTTCAATGAGGGGAGTAAGATGATCCCACACCATGACAATTTCCTCAGGAAGGAAGAAGGACCCAATTCCCCATATCCCATTCCCATGATTCTGAAAACTGTATCTTATTTTTAACCTTCAGAGAGAAAGGAATTTAAATACTTGATACCTTTTGAAATACCCAACCATGTCATTTCCTTTTAGCCTATATGATTATATGTTTTATTTCTAGTTTCTTATTCTCTACTACTAACATCTGCACATAAACACAACCTTAGCCCTCTAAATCTCATCTGTTCCTGCTGCCTGTTCTTCACCTGAAGTCATAATCCCCTGTTTGTCACATCATAATCACCCCCTCAACAGAGCACTGTTGCTTCAGGTGGGGAATAAAGCAGCAGGAACAGATGAACTCTTAGGAACAAAGATCCTAATTTGTTACAGCAAGGGACATCCTTCACTAAGCCTCCCTGGCTTTACAGACTATACCCTCCTGGAGTCCCCCAGAGTTATACATGAATGCTAGAAAAGCACCCATGTAAAATAAGCTGGTTTGTCATAAGGCAAGACCAAACATGGGAGGGTGAGGCAGGGAAAAAGCAACTGCCTCCCAGGAGTCACTCAGAATAATTGTTAGCTTCTAGTAACAGGGCAACATTCACTGGAAAGAATACAGTATCTCTAGAGCCATCCTTATTAAGCCAAATGTAACAAGAATTTGCACCAGACAGTGGCTGTGGAAGGCACTAATGAAAGTCCCTCTGACCTGTAGACATGCCAGCCCATGGAGGATGAACGGTTTGTCTCCAGCCTGTGGGATAAGCTCTTTCATAGACCCTGACAGTGCAAACAGTCTCAACATCTTCTTACTATCACTATTTCCCTTTCCTCCCTTTTGTCCAAAGTTCCTCCTTACTCCTGAGAAGGAGAGGGTGGGGGTAAGGGGCAGACAACAAAACATGGTCTCATTAGTCACCGGAAAGATAAAAATCAAAACATCTCCACTAGTAGTTAAAATACCTTTTCTATTTTGTTGATATTAGAAATGAAATGAACCCTTAGCAATGGGAATAAGGATGATCACAATGCTTGTTGGTCAATTTAAAGCTTAAGAAGGGCTCTTTGTGCATCTATGCCTAGGAGTGGGCAGCAGGCTCTTCACATCTTCTCAGACGTTAAATGCTGATCAATAATTCTATATTACTATCCTTGGAAAGAACTGACATGAACTTACCTGAAACTTATCTGAAATTTTCCTTCCAGGAAAAATTCAACTTTTATTTTTTTATCCCTAATGGTGCCTGCCCAAAGTAAGTACTTAAAAGATATCTGTCTGCTGAACCAACGAAAGAAAAGACTGGTTAGCACAGTGGTAAGATAACCAAGCTAATGTGCTCAGCTAGCCAGCCTAGAAGCACATGGTGACAGGAAGGTGCTGGGGAGACAGTAGATGAATCAGTAAAATTCTATCACCACTTCAGGAAAAGTAGCTTATGGGCCAGTAGCATTTTCTTGTATGTAAAGGGTGGCTCTTGATTTTTAGCATAATCTATACCTTTCTTTCAAAAGTTTAATAGAAGTAGCACGACAACAGCCTTGAATGTATTTATTTTCATTATCAAGACCATCAAGTGAGTACCTACAGAGATGCACTAGAGATGGAACTGTACTCTTACTGGGTTGGACACGGAAATAGTTTGCATCACTGTAAGCATCTAGAGGGAACAAAATGCTTACCATCATCTTCACACTAACTAGTAGAAAACGTGCTCAACAAGAGTTAGTTGAAAAGAATGCATGAATAAAAATAAAAGAATTACAAAAACTCTGAGAAATTGCTAGAAATTAAGCATGTACATTTGTTTACAGCTTATCTCCCTACTAGACCATAATTCCACAAAAGCAGGAACTTCATCTGACTTAATGTTTAGTTCCTAATAAATAGTACCTAACTCAGTAACTTATTTCTGGAATAAATGAATAAATGTATGAATAAAATATGTTTTTAGATGGAAAAACTAAACATTTATTCAACTTTGATTTCTCTGAATACAATATACCTATAAATTTATAAATAGGATAAATCCATGAGTATATGCAAATCTTCAATGAAAAGGGCTCTTCTTTTTTTTCTTTCCAATAGTGCATGGTTAAATCTTGTGCCCTAACAACTGCTCAGTATATGGTTATGAATCAAGGAAATTCAAAAATTATTAGGGTTAAAATAAAGGTTATTTATTTTTATTTTTCTCTTCTATTAGTAAAACGGTCCTATAAGGTATGTATTTTATAAAATTACATATTGAGCACAATGAGTGGAAAATTTAGGATGGGATAGACTTTCAGGGAAGTCATAATTCTTAAGAAGGGTTAATATGTAAAAATAAGAATCCTTGTCTTTTGAAAGTAGTGGCCAGATTAGAAACCAAAAGAATGAGAGAGAGAGAAAGGGAGAAATCGGTTTTGCTTTTGCTTATAAAAGAATCAAAGTAAAACACGTTTGCAATGGCTCTGCAACAAAATTCAAGATGTATACATGTAAACAAGAAAACATCAGATTAGTGGCCTATTTATATACCAACATTTTTCAGGACTTGACTTAAAATAATAATCTATCTAAATTTACCTGGCACAGTACTTTAGACCTAATTAATCACTGTGAAGGGGTATATACAAGGTAAAAGAAAACCCAGAACAATATTTCACACAAGGCTTTGAATTCTCATGCTTTAACTTGTAAATAAACTTGTAACAATTCAGTACTACATCAAAATGCTTAAAATGCATAGAATAAATGAACTTCTTTGTATGCTGATAAGGAAATGCTTAAAAACAGTACTGAGGTTACATGGAATCAGCTAAATATCCTATAACTCATTTATTTTAGAGATCAGTTAAGTATCACCTTTGGGTGTACTTTAATAAAATAGTTATCTCGAGACCCGATAGCAGAGAGAACTAGATGGGACCCATGAATAGTAAGTCCCCTTTCTGAACTTGTATGCAAGTGCTAATGACTGGCCACATTTCTGCATTGTCTTTGCTAGGCATGGTCAATTCAGTCTAACACTGTTAGAATCAAGGGAGTCAAGGACCTGGAACTCAGCTTAGACCACATGTAAGCCTTTTGCTCCTCCTCCCTTACATGAAAAAACTTGCTACTTTTACATACTGAAATTTAATTCACTGATTTGAGACCATTTTCCTAAATCAACTTTCTTTAGCCCCTGCTAGAGAACACTTATGAGATTTCCCATCTTAAAATTATCAACAACCTGATAATACACTCAACTCCATTCTCCAGTTCACTAATAAAAATATTGAATACTAAGACTTAAAACAGACTTTTTCCAGGCTTGTCTTCAACATCCCTCCCCAGCTTGATGTAAGGCCATCCAATGGACTTTCCTTGGCCAAATCTTTGTCCATTTTGGAACAAAAGTTGTGTAATCCAATATTCTGTGATTTTTCAACCTAAAAAAACACACTATGCAGACTTAAATATCTGCATATAACAGATGTGTACAATGCACATTTAGGTTGGTACAGAACCTTTAAAATTACCACATCTACAGTTGAGAAGAGGAATTAATTCATTGTAGAGTGCTTTATGGTTTCTGTGATCAGTTATCACATGTATGCCCTTCAAGGCTTAATTTTAATGCTTTGGATGTTGAAAGAAATAACAATCTATAACAAGAGTCCACATTGGCACACACACAAAAACACATGTCCATGTATACATGTGAGATTTTTAAAAATCACACTAAATCTATAATGACAATTAACATCTCGCATAAAAATAAAAGCTTAATATTTGACTTTCAAGTAAAAGCACACTCTGATTCCATATATTAGACAAACATACCCAACATGAATTTTTCTAACTATTCTTTTTAACATATAAAGCATTTTACAGACAGTATTTCTTTTGTTTCTTTGTCTCATAAGGCCTAGATTATGGCTAATATCTCATGACACCAAAAGTAATACTGCAACAGATATTAAAGCATTTTTTCAGCCACTTATTCTATAAAATATTAATTGCAAACCTGTGCATGTGCTGTATATATAGGGATTAGGTAACTGAGTTCCTGCTTAGTTCCAAATCAATAAAAGATAACATGCATAGCATCAATCATTGTTCACTCTTCTTTTAGTACATAATAACTGCGAGTGGAAGATTTTTAAAAATATATATTTAAGCACTCATGCAGATATTACAAGCTAGAGAGGATGTAAGTAATACTGACCTAGGAAGGACAGGTTTTTCTCCAGAAGCATGTCTCTTAGCAGGACTTCGTGCTCATGACCAATGGCACTAAGAAGTTTTAGTTAAGGAGGGTAACACAGGTGGAATTACACAATAAAAAATATGCTAATACCAGGTCTCTACTTTGAGATGAAATGGAAAATAGAGTAATCATAGCAACTATTTCCACCTTTAGCCCACATTTCTGAGGAATGAGACTTCTACATACATGTCCTCATTTCAATGATTCAGGGGAATTTTTCTATTTCTGTAATGTTTATATGCATTTGGGCAAATAAAGATTTGTAAATGGATGTGTACCTTATCTTCTTTTGAAAGGAGGCAAAGTCATTTTATTTTTTTTAAAGATTTTATTTATTTGAGAGAGAGAGAATGAGAGATAGAGAGCACGAGAGTGAAGAGGGTCAGAGGGAGAAGCAGACTCCCTGCTAAGCAGGGAGCCCGATGTGGGGGAGACAGAGTCATTTTAAACATCCTTTGTACTATGTTAAAAATCCCTTAATTCAATTTAGTACATTTATTAAGCACTTACTAAATGCAGCAAATACCAACCAGGCTTTGCCTTAAAGGAGTTTCCAGTCTTACAGAGTTCCATAAATCTTCTAAGAATCCATACTTGTCCCAGAGCCAGCATTTCTAGCTTCTGTCCCACTTTCAGCCTATGGTTGGTGATCTTATATGATGTGGGAAGCCAAATAGCCAACTTGTTGAGAATTCTAGGCACCCTGGAGGAAAGATTGCATGTTGCAAAGGACTGTGGGGTTGGGGTGTGGGTGCAGAGGATTTTTCAAGTCTTCCTCTTGTGTGCGAGAGCGCACGCATATTATCATATGCATAGAAACAGAAATGCACACGCACATGTAAATTCTTTGAGCGATCACTATGAGGTAGGTACTGTGTTAAGTGCTTTATGTATGTTATTTCATCCTTAGTTATTATCATCCTTATAGATGAGGAAACCAAAGCTTAGAAAAGAATCTGCACAGTCATACGGTTCAAGTGTGGCAAAGCAAAGGATTGGAATACGATGTCCACAAAGCCTTTTGTATGACTTCCATACAACTCCTTGAAAAGTATTAAAATAATTATGTAAAAATAATTGATACTAGCTAATATTTCTTAAGCACTGTAACACAAAGCCTTGGTGTTAAACAGTTGGGGTATCACCGTTTTTTTTTTTTTTTTTGGTAAGTCCTCAATAAACTTTGGTTATTTTATTGTTACAGTTTCAGATTCATTACGTTCAGCTGCTCACACATGCATACGCCATTTGCTTCATTACCATCTTAGTTACTGACAACCCCATGCTGTTCAAACCAGAATGCAGGAGTCCTCAGCTCCTACCTTTCTCCCACACTCCTCTCAATACATCGGCAACTCCTGTTGGTGTCAACTTACAACTAAATACAATATTCACCAAATTTTTACTACTTCCTCTGCTACCGTCCCAGCCTATCATTTTTTTAATTAAAAAAATTAATTCCAGTATAGTTAAAATACTTAGTGTTATATTAGTTTCAGGTGTACAATGTAGTGATTCAACACTTCCATATATCACCCAGTGGTCATCACCAGTGCACGCTACAATCCCCATCACCTATTTCATCCATCCTCCCACCCACCTCCCTTCTGGTAAGCACCAATTTGTTCTCTATAGTTAAGTGTCTGTTTCTTGGTTTGTCTTTTTTTCCGTTGCTCTTTTGTTTCTTAAATTCCATATATGAATGAAATATGGTACTTGTCTTGGACTGGCTTATTTCACTTAGCATTATACTCTCTAGATCCATCCATATCATTGTAAATGGCAAGATTTCATTCTTTTTATGGCTGAACAATATTCCATTGTGTGTGTATGTGTGTACATACACCACGTCTTATTCCTCCAGCTATCAATGGACTCTTGGGTTGCTTCCATATCTTGGCTGTTGTAAATAATGCTACATAAACATAGGGGTGCATGTATCCCTTTGAATTAGTGTTTTTGTATTTTGGGGATAAATGCCCAGTAGTGTGATCACTGGATCATAGGGTAGTCCTATTTTTAAACCTCCATACTGTCTTCCACCATGGCTGCACCAATTTGCATTCCCATCAACAGGGCAAGAGGGTTCCTTTTTTTCCATATCCTCGCCAACACTTGTTTCTTGTGTTGTTGATTTTAGCGATTCTGACAGATGTGAAATGATATCTCATTGTAGTTTTGATTTGCATTTCCACTTGGGGTATCATCTTATTTAACCTTCACCAACACCACATGAATAACTACTATTATTAGTCCCATTTTTATAATTACAGAAAGCAAGGTTCAAGAAGGCTGAGGAACTTTCTGAAGGTCCCATGGCTGGTAAATAATTAAATCAGGAATAGGACTTGGAATTCTGGTTCTATTTTCCAAAAGGATGAGATTGCACAACATCTGAAAAGGAGCATTATCCTATTCTGGTACTTTGATTCTGTCAAAAGCATTTGGTATTATCTAATTCTCCATTGGATAATGTCAGCCTGGTTGTACCACTCCTCAGCTTACCAAAGATTCTCTGATTCTGATCATGCACTGCAAGAGTGCAATTTAAATGAAATAAAATGTACGCATTATTTAAAAAAATTCCTAGAGCATTATCTGCCTTTTATCAACACATACAGGTGAATATCATTTAAATCATAATTCGAGAGACGTGGCCACTCATGTCCACCAACAAAATGAGCCCCAAGTCTTCACCATTGCAATTTTTCCTTCTGTTGTCCCCTCCCCCCACCATGCACGTGGCTTTGCTTATTTAATTTCTAACTGGAAACAATAAAGGAACAAAAGTTTTCAAATCACAAAATTTCACGCTTTTGCAGAGTCCACTGAAGACATCTGATGCATATCTCTCTACAGTCTCTCATTATTAGGGGCATCCCACATGTTAGAACTAAATTATTTACTTCTAATCCACATAAATGAGCTCTCACTTTTATTGTTGTAAATTATTTACATCTAAAAAGTTGAATCATGAAATTGAGGTTACTGATGGTATAGAAATGAAACCCACAGCATTTTAAGCTTCCTGCATCATTATCTTTCCTTGCTTCTCTGGGTGGGTCTTTGTGTAATAGCCATGTCCTGGAGTCACACTTTGGAAAGTTGAGGTGGCTGGTTTCTCACACCTTTTGTGTCAGTGACTATATTTGGGGCAGCAAAAGTGTGGATGGACATGGCTATGCAGGAAAAAAGATCGCAGACACCAAAAGAAAAAGAAAGCACACGACAACTTATATACTCTTTGCTACTGTGCTTCTTGAGGCATCTTATTTGTAAATGACCAATTCCCTTTATTCTACTTACACAAATGTCTACATGTAACATTTTCATAATGGAGTAAAAAGACTTTGCACCTATTCTATTTACTAAATGTGTACTTTCTTACAAAATGATGTAATTTACCGACAGTAAGCAATGTAAACATTACTAAATTATCAGAACAACATACAAATAGCATTTTCACTCACATGGAAAACTACTAATTTTTATTCAGTGTGAAATAAAGTAATTCCTGTGGATCAGTCTAGGAAACATCTATGCAAGTATATTTACATTATATGAAACTGCTACTACCTCAATGCAAAAATAAAATCAGTTCTCCATAAATTCCCCAGCTTGTTTTATTTTGCATGGTAAAAGCAATCACCGATTTGAAATTTGGGAAAGACATACTTCTTGATTATTCTTTGCTTGATATAAACATATATAAAATACAAGGTCTAGAACACAAAGCTTATAAAAACAGTAATTTTACTGGCAATAGGCATAATGGAATTGCAAAATTATAATCTAGTCAGTGAATGCAATTTATAGACATTCATCATTAACTTTATCAATTGAAATCATGTACTACATTAAATTCTACTAGCAATAACACAGCCAAAAAAGGAAAGTGAATGATGGCAAAAATGTAAAGAAAATACTCCGAACAGAATTTATAATGCTCTATAAGAAAACACTTAGACTTTGTCTATAATAATACCTATTATTGATGTATGGCAGTGACCATGGGGCAAAACTTGTAAATAACCTCACAAGCCATTTTCTTAGCCAGCAATGCAGCAATCTAGTTTCCCGTAAGCATCTCAACTATTACTGAAAAATAGCCTCCTGGCATTTACAAAGCAGTTGACTTCATACTTTAGTCCATGCATATATAATTAGATAGTTATATTTAAAATCAATATGCAATCCTTCAAAAGACATTATGCTTTTAAAACCTTAACTTTAAATTGATTTTTAACTATTTTATGTGCTTTAAAATTAACATGTAATTCCGCCCCAGATACTCTGAGATGGTGTTAGTTGTTATACAAATGTGCTAAACTTTATCACTGTAGCAACATGAGGTTGGCACTCCTACAATTTCTAACGCTATCATTAATTTTATACAGAAAATAGAAGTATGGTTTCACTTTGGTCTAATAAAAAGGCAAGCTTATGACAGTGCTGTGATTTTATTAATTTAAACTACATTGGGGGGAACTGACTTGAAGGATAAATATGTAAAGGGCTGTAACTTAGGTAGTGAATATTCTTACAAGAGGGCTCTGTGAAGAGATTATTTTTCAAAGGTTAACTTGATAAAAAAGAAAATGAGTGAGGTTCCTTACAAAAATTTTACAGACTCTAAGCCTTTGTGAAAACAAGGTGGGATAAACAGACACACACACACACACACACACACACACACACACACACACACACACACACACACACACACTTGACTTCCAACAAAAAAGGCTTTCAACAGAAAGCTTCCTGACTGGTAGCACTGAATCTCCACTGGTCACAGTGCTGTCCACACTCACAAAACCTCTATTAGGAAGGCTGTTACAACATTAAGAAATGCGAGACTTGTGGACTCAGGTGGAATATAATTTTCATTAAAAAATTACTAGTTATTGACCCTTTAAATAGTATTTTCCACCCAGGATTATCAAAATTCTTAGTATTGCCACAATGCTACTAAATGTATGGATGAAGAATATGTCCCTTCATGAAGTAGTGACTGTCGGCTCAAATCCCATTTCAAGAAGTAAGCATTAACTCTTTAGTAATCTCAATGTCTTTTTTTTTAATTTTTATTTTTTTTAAAGATTTTATTTATTTGAGAGAGAAAGAATGAGACAGAGAGCATGAGAAGGGGGAGGGTCAGAGGGAGAAGCAGACTCCCTGCTGAGCAGGGAGCCTGATGTGGGACTCGATCCTGGGACTCTAGGATCATGACCTGAGCTGAAGGCAGTCGCTTAACCAACTGAGCCACCCAGGCACCCAGTAATCTCAATGTCTTTAATGAAGAATGACTGGACATCTGTTTTCATAGCCTTAAGTTCAGTCCAGGCGGAAAAATTAGCTTGGTTTCTCTAAAGTTGTTTATTAGGGATGCAAATGGCAGTGCAGATTGTAATCAGCATTTAAGCAATAAGAATCTACTGCCCTTTCAGATGTGATGGTCTGCGCGGCATTTTAATCACGTCATCCTTGAACTCCAGGCTCAAAATTTATTCTAGGAAACTCAACTGAATTTGGCTCATTTTAAATAGAAATTTGTTCTATTTTTTTAAAATGTTCGTTGGATTGGTGAGCCACACTCCCAGACAGTAAGTTACGTGCCCAATGACTCTGTACCTTTAAACTCTCTGAAACCCCAGCAGTTTGAGCTAAGCCTGTGCACATAACTGCCAAACCGACAGCCTCCCGTGGCCCATCTGATTTTCCTTAAGCTGGAGGAAAGGATGGTCTGCAGTGACCCTCCAGCTGACTGAATGTAAAGTAGAAGAGTATGAAATGTGTTTCGTGAAGCAGAACTTTATGTCAGGTTAAAGCTAGACACATCTCCTCCACTGAGTCTGAGCTCGTCAATTGTGCACCTAAAATTTTATGGGAAAGGATACTGTTTGATGCAGTCCACCAGTGGTCCATAACAGCAGTCGTTCACGATGCACTGCGGACAAAACAGAGAAGGGGTCTGGGGTGACTACAAAAACCGTTACCGTGAACTAGTATCCTAAAAGCAGTAATAACGTTTCTTAAAAAAAACAAACAAACTATCAAAGGCTGTTAAGATTTAATCACAGAAAACAAAAATCACATGCTTTTTATTCACTATAAAAGCAAGCTATTAAAAAGTGAAATGCTCTTCTCGCAAATATTGCATTGCCATTTATGGTGCACCCTGACCTCAGTGATAGTTTATGATGACAGTAATTAAATGAGGTTTAAAATCCTTTACTCTGCTAGGCAGATAGCACTGCCACTGAAAATAGACAGCTGTGATTAATACCTGATAGACCTGATTTGCTAGAACTCCGTCTGGAATCTGAGAAGGGTCCCGTAGCATACTATTTATAACAGACTTGGAGGCTGTAGAAGAAAAGAGATGAACTGTTAACAGTCAACATACTTTTAGTGCAGCATGAGTGACATATACCTATATGTACACAAACCATGAAAATGAAAACATTACCGATTCTAATAATTTTTTCCTTTTTTTAAATCTAAGAGAAGCTTTTAATTAGACCATTTTGCCAAGTTTATAAGCCACACTGCCAGATTTGAAGATGACCTAATTTTTCCAAGGTAAATTAACAAGCACAGACCTAAAGCATATGTCTCTTTGCAGATATATTAGCTTTGGAAAAGCCCGCTTGGGGGAAAAAACACAGCAAGAACAATCAGAAAAGAAATAGTTACCTTTTGTGGTTAAGTATTTTATTACTAAGCATATGTATCTGGAGAGCTTAGTGAAGGCAGGAGAGACTTGAATGATGTCAATAAAAATAACTTTTAGCCAAGAAAGAATCTCTGAATTCTAAACCTTTCTAAAATAATTCTCATCAACTGCCATAAAATGCTGCATCCATTTCACAGATAAGGAAAGTAGGTAAAATTGATTAACCATTGAGGGAATCTTAAGTAAGAAAAAAATATGTATTTATTTATATATGGATTTTTGTCCCAAAATATGTCTCCTCATAGCCAATTGTAAATTAAATAGACCTCGCCCCAGGAACACCTATAAGAAGAGGCTAGGGGAGGCATTTAATGAAGAATGCTATATCAGATCACACACTTAGCACACGGAGGCAAGAAATTCTGGCCCTGCTGTTTTTTGTAGGTGTGTGGAAGCCAAGGTGACCAGAACTCCTCTTCCTTTGCATGGGAGGAAGGCGAGTTTCTAAACTAAAGCTAAGTCTAGTGCTGCCTAGGAATCAATTCTTCCAATCCTCCAGTGGAATCATTCCCAAACATTCAGCAAAATGGCTTAGGGTTTATCCACACAAACACAAATTAAAGTACATATTGGATAATTATCTAGTTAATAGAATGAACAGAGACCACGGATCAACATTATTCATGTTGAGATGACTTTTGTTTTTGTTTTTTTTTGTTTTTAAGATTATTATGTTCTTTATCAAGTTCAGTACCATAAGATCAGTGACAGATATGATAAATGTTAGTAAATACCGTGCAAAGAAATCTGGAAATTACATCTTTTTCACTTAAGCACAGTACTGAGTCCACAAAGAAAAAAATGCAGTACACTTATTTTAATTATTTCCTATTCTGCATGTGGATAGCCACATTTACGTACTTAGCCATTTGTAACTATGTGTTTGTTCTGCAAGTGTGGAACACATATCTGGAATCCCAAGGAGAACATCATCATGAGAGGAATACTATCCAGCCCTATATCTGCAACCAGCTCTGCAACCAGGGCAAATTTATGGAATATGGCACCTCTCAGATTCACTATCTTCTTCTGTAGAAAATGACATTATCATCTGAGCTGACCTCCTTAAAGGGTTTTTGTGTGAGTCTCTACAGAAAATAGCTACAATGGCTATTTTGTTGTTGATTTTGTTAAAGTTTAAGTAATAGTAAGAACCAAACTATATGATAACTCACTGCAAATCATAGATCAAAGAGTCTTTTTTTTAAAAGATTTTATTTTATTTATTTGAGAGAGAGAGAGCACAGAGGGAGAGTGAGAGGGAGAAGCAGACTCCCCACTGAGCAGAGAGCCCGATGCGGGGCTCGATCCCAGGACCCTGAGATCATGACCTGAGCCGAAGGCAGACGCTCAACTGACTGAGTCAACCAGGAGCCCGCCAGCCAAAGGCTCTTTTTAAAATAGACAAGAGACAATACTCTAGAGCAGAAGAAGATGACGTCACTTATTTTGTGAGAGAAGGAAAGGAAATATTATAGAAAAAAGAAACCAATGACATCCTAATTTTCCTCACAATATAAATTTTTGAACACTGTGCTTATCAGAATTAAGAATCATAGCCAATACACTTTTTAAAAAATAGTCTGAACATACTGAATAGAACACTATTCAAATCAGAGAAAGCTTACGAGAACAAGTCAATCATTTTAAATTGAGAAGTAAAAACTATATATTGAGTCCACATTCATTTTAAACTCAACAAAATGTCTTTTCCTTTCTTGCAACCTGCCATTTTTTGGAGCAAGAAAATGATAATAAATAGGGATTTGATGCCTTGGCTACAGACCTAGGATGTGCCTGCCTTCTGTTTGAGGATTTTAGGACTTGGACTTCACAAAATTATGCTTGTGTCTCAGATCAAGCCAGAGTGCAAACTTAATTTTACACACATTCTGAAGCTAAAAGTGCCAAAGGGATGAAGAGTATTCAACCAGGTAAGGAAAGGCGGTTGGACAATCTTGGGATGACTAGGAATAAGAAGGGCTCAAGGAAGCCAGTTCCTTTCATAAGCAACATGTCCACGGCCAGCTACTACCTATGCCCAAGTTGCATCCATCTTTCTGACCATATGTGGACAGGAGACTTGTTCTCCCTAACCTTTGCTAGAGGCATTCATCCTCTTGATTTCAGAGTTTACCTCTGTCACTGCTTCAACTGCTGGAATGTCAGCTTTCTACCAAGCATGTACAAAGCAGGAGTGCACGAGTCATTTGGAGCTGTGTGCACAGGGATAGGGGAGAACTGGTCCCTGTTGAAGCATGCTTTGGAAGAGAGCCAATAGGCAATGCCTGGACTAAGGCATAATGCCCAAGATTATGATCTGCTTTCTGTGAAATATTTCAAGAGCCTAAAATAATAAACATCCATGCCCCTGCCACTTTGACATAATGTCTGTATCTTCAATTAAATTTAGATAGTCTAATATTAATTTGTGTAAACTGTTTTATTTATCAGTCTTGCTAGAGGTTGGTTCATTTTACTAGTATTTTGAAGGAACCAAATTTTGGTTTTGTTGATTTTCTCTACTGCTTCATTCCTTCCAATTTCATTTAATTCATCCTTTTGTCATCATTTCTGGCTTTTCTCTTTGAATTTGTTGTATTATTCTTTTACAAACTTACTATCTTTATTACTTAAATTTTCAATCTCTTATTTCAACATATACTTTTTCTTCTTTAAAATTTTTATTGTTATGTTAATCACCATACATTACATCATTAGTTTTTGATGTAGTGTTCCATGATTCATTGTTTGCGCCTAACACCCAGTGCTCCATGCAGTACGTGCCCTCTTTAATACCCATCACCATGCTAACCCATCCCCCACCCCCCTCCCCTCTAGAACCCTCAGTTTGTTTTTCAGAGTCCATCGTCTCTCATGGTTCGTCTCCCCCTCCGATTTCCCCTCCTTCATTCTTCCCCTCCTGCTATCTTCTTCTTCTTCTCAACATATACTTTTTAAGGCTATAATTTTTCCTCTAAATTCTGCTTTAGCTACATGCCACAAGTGTTGTTCTCATTTATTTATAAATATTTTATAGTTTCCATTATGATTTCATCTTTGATCCATAAATTATTTAAAAACTTATTTCAAATTTTTAATTTGATCATATTGGTCAAAGTATGTGATGCTTATATTAATTTGAGGGTATCTATTTGACTTCCATTGGTGTTTTCATATGCAATCAATTTTTATAAATATTTTACATGTCTTAAAAATACTAAAGCTCCTATTTTTGAGGTATGGGGTTCAGGTATGTCTAGTAGGCCAAGATTTTTAATTGTATTATTAAAATCTTCTATATTCTTTGTTTTCTTAAGATTTATTTATTTGACAGAGAGAAAGAAAGTGAGAGAGAGAGAGAGAGAGGGAGGGTAGGGGCACAGGGAGAGGGAAAAATCTCAAGCAGATGCCCAACTGAGAATGGAGCCCAACAAAGGGCTTGATCTCATGACCCTGAGATCATGACCTGAGCCAAAATCAAGAGTTGGATGCTCAACCAGCTGAGCCACCCAGGTGCCCCAAATCTTCTATATTCTTATTAATTTTTAATTAAATTTAACTGAACCCATATCTAATCTAATCATATCTTCTTTGTAATTCTGAGGACGGCTGACCCTTAATAATATGGGGTTAGGGGCACCAATCCCCTGGGTGGTCAACAATCCCACATATAACTTTTGACTTCCTAAAACTTAACTACTAACAGCCTGCTGTTGACAGAAAGCCTTACTGATAACATAAACAGTTGATTAACACATATTTTATATGCTATATGTATTACATACTGTATTCTTACAATAAAGCTAAAGAAAAGAAAATGTTATTAAGAAAATCATAAGGAAGAGAAAATACTGCACTATGTTTATAAAAATAGTATTGCACTGTATGTGTATGTATAAGAAAAATCCACATATAAGTGGACCCATGCAGTTTAGACCCATGGGTTTAGGGCCAGTTATATAAGGAATTAAGAATTCACTCACTCCAATCAGGAAGCGCCCCCTTCCCCATCAGCCTCCATGTTATTCTATTAATTTTTGTTCAACCACCCTGTTTGTAAACATAATTTCTTAGTTTCTGTGATGGTTAATTTTATGTCAACTTGACTGGGCCACAGGGTGCCCAGACTTTTGACCAAACATTATTCTGGATACGTCTGTGAGGGTGTTTCTGGATAAGATTCACATGTGAATTGGAGTAAAATAGACTGCCCTCACCAATGTGGATGGGTCTCATTCAGTCAGATGAAGGTCTGACTAGAACATAAAACACTGAGTAAAAGACTAGTTTCTCTGCCTGACTGCCTTCAATCTGGGACATCCTCTGGACTCAAACTAAAATATTGGCTCCTCCTGGATCTCAAGAGGATTGGACCTGTATCACTGGCTCTCCTGGGTCTCCAGCTTGCCCACAGTAGCACTTGGGACTTTCAACCTCTATAATCATGTGAGCCTATTCCTTATAATAAATCTTTCTCTCTCCATATACATATATACATACACGCACACACAACTGGTTCTGCTCTCAAGTACTCCAATATAGTTTGTATTTTTTTAAATGCTCAATACTTATTTAGATTTACGAACATGTTTGCCAATTTTCTCCTTCAGTACTGCTTTCTGAATTC